AAGAATGTCTTACCTTTTCTATTTGCTAAGATATTTCTCATGTAATAAATCCAAATCAGTGGCACCCTGCGCACCTCTTTCCATTTCTAGAAATGGTCTGTTATATACATGTACTTCAATATATGACATGTAAATATCCAATTGAAAGCTTAGAATGTCACCTAGTGGCTTTCTCAGCCATTTTCATGTGTTAGGACACCATCTCTTTTTTTCAAACCAAGATTTCAAGAAGGTAGGTTGTGTCTTTAGTCTGCTCGAAATTTCATATTTTTAAGACTAAAATACATCTTAATTACTAACTTGATAAATTATAGTGGAATACTATGGTATTGATGCAGTAATTTATGATTTATTAGTTATTCAAATCTAAAAAAAGTATTTTGTTTCATATCCTTTATGTGCAAAATTTTTAAAGGCTTAGTAACCTATTTCAAGCAGCAACCGAGTACAAAGGTCATAACTAGAAGAAATTATTGTTTGCTTTACTTCTTTATCTACTGTTCTGTGTTTTAAGAAAATTAAGTTTATGAACTTATTTATAGCAAAATAATGTATAATAATTGAAATGTGACTGTATTTTACAAAATACTACTCTACTAAAACACAGCCAAGACAATTTACTTTGTACAGACCAAAGGTCAGTTTTATGTTATTAAATATCGTAACATGAGTACATGTGTGCCGTGTCATTGTAACTTCTGTATTGTTAGCCAGGCATGGCTGAAAAGTCAATATAATAAAAATTATATATATATACACACAAATTATCATTTTGTAGGCCTTTGTAATTCTCTGTTAGTGAAGCTATTATTATGTAAGTCCTAGTAACTATATGTAAGTCATATTATTATTGTGTAGTTCCTAGTAAGTATATGCAAGTCATATTATTATTATGTAAGTCCTAGTAAGTATATGTAAGTCATATTATTATTTTGTAGGTCCTAGTATGTAAGTCATATTATTATTGTGTAGGTTATAGTAAATATATGTAAGTCATTGTTATTATTATGTAGGTCCTAGTAAATATATGTAAGTCATTGTTATTATTATGTAGGTCCTAGTAAGTATATGCAAGTCATATTATTATTGTGTAGGTCCTAGTAAGTATATGTAAGTCATATTATTATTGTGTAGGTCCTACTAAGTATATGTAAGTCATATTATTATTGTGTAGGTCCTAGTCCACCTACAATCAGTGCAGAAGATGATGAAGCTTCTTCATCTAGTTTTCATCTGGAATGCCAGGAAAATTTGGAGAACATTGCTGTAGTTCCAAGGTAAGTTTGCTAGTATATTATTGCTGTATTTTCAAGGTTAGTTGACTTGTATTTTATTGCTGTAGTTCCAGGGTTAGTTGACCTGTATTTTATTGCAGTAGTTCCAAAGTCAATTCATCTGAATTTTACTGTTGTAGTTCCAGAATCAATTGACCTGTATTTTCTGTTGTAGTTCCAGGGTTAGTTGACCTACATTTTACTGTTGTAGTTCCATGGTTAGTTGACCTGTATTTTACTGCTGTGGTTCGAAGGTCAATTGATCTGTATTTTACTGTTGTAGTTTCAGAGTTAGTTGACCTGTATTTTACTGTTGTAGTTCCAGGGTTAGTTGACCTGTAATTTACTGCTGTGGTTCGAAGGTCAATTGATCTGTATTTTACTGTTGTAGTTTCAGGGTTAGTTGACCTGTATTTTACTGTTGTAGTTCCAGGGTTTAATTGACCTGTATTTTACTGCTATAGTTCCAGGGTCAATTGACCTGTATTTTACTGTTGTAGTTCCAGGGTTAGTTGACCTGTATTTTACTGTTGTAGTTCCGGGGTTAGTTGACCTGTATTTTACTGCTGTAGTTCCAGGGTCAATTGACCTGTAATTTACTATTGTAGTTCCAGGTTTAATTGATCTATATTTTACTGCTATAGTTCCAGGGTTAGTTGATCTGTATTTTACTGCTGTAGTTCCAGGGTTAGTTGACCTGTATGTTATTGTTGTAGTTCCAGGGTTAGTTGACCTGTATTTTGCTGCTGTAGTTCCCGGGTTAGTTGACCTGTATGTTATTGCTGTAGTTTCAAGGTTAATTCACTTGTGTTTCTTTCTTTTTTGTGTTATCTTCTTACTTTTCTGAATATTATATAACAAATTTACCTAGGATTGTTACCTTAATAATATGGTAAAAAAAGTTGACTCTTAATTTGTGAGATAATGGTGTTCATATATTTTAGTAATGTGGAGACATTAGATACAAGTGGTAGTTAATATTAGATAATCACTTTGTTAGCATCTGGATTGCTTCTAATTAGACATGCCTGTTAGGATTTGTAATGGTAAGAATTATGAAATGAATGTCCTATTTTTGTTATTTTTACTAGATTCTCAAGTTGTGAAGAATCAGTAGAACAGTTTGTCTTGGATTTAATACGGGACTACCTGACCAGGAGACAGCCAACTGATGTTTCCCGCAACATGCTTCGGTTACTTGTGTCAACTTGTGGCCTCAGTGAAGTTAGGTTACTTGTTGCTCCGAAGCTGGAGATGTGGCTCCAGAATCCTAAAGTAGGAAATGTGTTGCTTAGAAATTGTGATATTTTAACAACCTATATATATAATAACTTCTGATCAAAGGAAGCTAAGTACATAGAACTAAAAATATAGCAATTACTGAATATAGGTAATTAAATATACTCTTCAAAATATAATCGTGTAGTCATTATAATATATTGTTTCATCAGTTGGGTGCCCTTGCTGTAATTAAATATACTCTTCAAAATATAATCGTGTAGTCATTATAATATATTGTTTCATCAGTTGGGTGCCCTTGCTGTTAACGATATTTTACACCAGTAACTTTTGATTATAGGAAGCAATCTGTAGAGACCAGAACTAGAATTATATGCCGAGACAGAGATTGCTGTTGTTAGAATACATTTAACAGATTTTTAGTTCCAAGTTTCTTTCTAACCTTGAGGTATTTATGAAATATTTGGTACATGACATGTGAAGAAACAATACTTAAGGTGATAGGATTTGTCAGTTGTTTGTTCATACTTAGAGTTTGTTTGGATGTTATTTATAAGTATTAGAAAACATTCATAAAGTCTCTTTTCTATATATTTTTGTTTTTAGCTCAAAAAACGTTAACAAATGATCACTTCACACAGAAAAATACTGAGATACTGTGACTTGTTAAGAAAAGAATAGGGTTAAACTTGAGAAAATTGTTTTGGTGTTGCTAACTGGGTTATTGTGGTTTGTAAAGAAAAGAAGAGGGTTAGACTTGAGAAAATTGTTTTGGTGTTTTTACCTGGGTTATTGTGATTTGTTAATAAAAGAAGAAGGTTAACTTCAGAAAATTGTTTTGGTGTTACTACTTGGGTTATTGTGGTTTGTTAAGAAAAGAAGAAGGTTAACTTCAGAAAATGGTTTTGGTGTTACTACTTAGGTTATTGTGATTTGTTAATAAAAGAAGAAGGTTAACTTCAGAAAATTGTTTTTATTGGTGTTGCTATCTAGGTTGTGATTTGTTAGGAAAATAAGAGGGTTAGACTTGAGAAAATTGTTTTGGTGTTTTTACCTGGGTTATTGTGATTTGTTAATAAAAGAAGGTTAACTTCAGACAATTATTTTTATTGGTGTTGCTATCTAGGTTGTGATTTGTTAAGAAAATAAGAGGGTTAGACTTGAGAACATTGTTTTGGTGTTTTTACCTGGGTTATTGTGATTTGTTAATAAAAGAAGAAGGTTAACTTCAGAAAATTGTTTTTATTGGTGTTTTTACCTGGGTTATTGTGATTTGTTAGGAAAAGAAGAGGGTTAGACTTCGGAAATTGTGTGTCAACTACAGGCAGAGCAACAGATATTCTATCACTGAATTAATTTCACTTTTCTCTAAAGAAACAAGTTTTGATTCTTCGTTAATATGGGAGGGGGGTTTAAGATAAAAACAAACGATACATATGTAGGCTGGAACTATAGTTTAATCCAGCAGTGTCAGTGATATTGCTTGTACTTAGATGTCAACCATTGGTAAAGAAAATGTTATGTATGTGTAAAAGTACACGATACATCCTTTTTTAATTCAAGTGTGCTATCTATTACTCTTAAACAAAAAATATTAATATAAATGTGAAATATAGTTCCAAGACAGGATCATGTATTCTTTTTTTTTCAGTTATCCCCAAATGATTAATAAGACTTACCAAAATAGTCCTAAAAATCTACGTGTTTTTTTGTCAAACAGTCTTAATACTGATGTTTGCTTGTCTTCAAAATATAGAGATTTAAGGAAGTATTATAAGCAACAAAAAATCTTAGGAAAATCAAGGATAATTGAGGAACTTTATTACAATAAAATAGTAATTTCTTATAAAGTTTTAGTAAAATATTTAGAACAATTGGTATTTTGTCCTTTTGTATTAATGTCATCACATCAGGTCCTGTAGAGTGTACTTAACAATATATTTATATGCTGTTTAATCAAAGCTAATTCTGCCAAATAATAATTTTACAATATAGATATTATGCATCTTCAGAGTATGATTTTTGCATTTTCATGGTTTATGATTTACATATTTTTCATAGGTTTTACATATTTCTTCAAGTATAATTTTAACATATCTTTTATGGTATAGGTTTACGTAGTTTTTCACGGTATGAATTTTACGAAAAATATATGTAAAAATTATACTGTGGGAGATAGGAACCATAAATTAATCAGTTTAAACCAGTAAGTCAACTTTTCGTAAAATATTATATCAGTATGTTATTCATGTAATAATTATCAAAGTAATTCTTCTTTTTTTTTTTATCAAAAGTTCATAATGTCTGAAAATGTTTTTTAAACTAGACCTTAGTCACTAGTGTGTTGTGGGGAAAAATTATAACCAAGCATTAACTAGCTTGTAAGTTACAGACTTTAGGATACATCACGTGTACTGCCAAGTACTGTTGTTCTAACTCTAATTTAGTTATTATGTACTGTCAAGTCCCATGTTTTTCTAACTGTGATTTATGTACTGTGTGCTGTCAAGTACTGTGGTTCTGTGATTCCATTGTTTTAACTGTAAAGTATGTGTTGTGTTTCACAGCTGACAAGGCCAGCTCAGGATCTCTTGCTTGCAGTCTGTATGAACTGCAGCCAGCACAACCAGAATGATGTGGAAGTTATTGGACATCTTATCAAAATTAGGATGAAGACTAAGCCTGTAATAAACCATTTTCTGCAGTGTATAAGGTACCTGTAAACTGTAATCAACTAGACACAACTTCTGATATGGTACATTACCTATTTTCACATAAATAGCTATTCTCGTTCAGTACTGCCCTCTATATGCAAAAATTGGTTTTTGCATGCCACAAGCCTTGAGCTCCTACTTACCTTACAATCAAGTGATTCAAATGCGTCTCGCATATAAATCATCATGCAACAACCCTCAACCAATAAGAGTGCAACACACTTTCCAGACATATGTGACTCACTCTATTTGATTCTACCAAACTGTCACTTCTTGTTTGGCAGTACTTGTGTCAAGACGTTTTTGTAGTGCTCTTCAAATTTGTTCAACTTTGTGATTTTTTTATTATTATTCCGAATTGGATTATTTTTGTTTTTCTTTATTTTTTCAACTGTTAATGACTTTTCAGATAACTTATTTTCCCAGTTTTTCATTTTTTTTTCTTCTTTTGATCAGGAAAACAGTTGTGTTTGATTTTCATTTTTACACAATGAATTCTGTAGTTCAGGTTATCAATTGAGAGATAATACCTTCTACCAGCACAGGCTACAGGTGGGGGTGACTCGTCTTTGGACTTATTGGCTATCATCTGTCATGAGATTGATTATTATAGGAGTCAGCCTGCTTCTTCTGATCTTGCTCCTGTTCCTACTGAACATGCCCTGTTCGTGTCAACGAGGATTTTGGCAGCCTTTTTCTTCTACCTGATTTTGCTTTGTCTTCATATACTCTTCAACTGGTACATTGTTAAATAAAGCTTCACTGTCAAAACTTAACATTTTTCCTTTAATTATGTCAGTGTTTTTAAAATTGTTTGCAAAATCTACACTGTTTTGATGTGTGATGATGAGATTTTTCCAACAACTTGGAATAGATGTCCTGCTAACCATTTAGATAATGGATATGTACCAGAACCCACATCGGAAATTATATGTCTCAGACGACAGTATTCTTGATGTATTTTAGGCAAACCCAACATGTAAGGTAAGGAAGGAATAATACATTTTAACTTCTTTAAAATATTCGGGTAATCAGCAAGAATTGTACGTAGTTGTCCATTAAAGTGAGACACCTTCTTAGGTAAGGGATTGGTGCTTAATTTTTCATAAACATACCCGTCCATAATGAGTTCTTCTAACTTTCTCTCATAAACGATTTTGTTTAAGATAATGATTTGGTTCATTTTGTTTGACGTTGTGATTATAATATCGTTGTTCAACTTCAATTTCCTTATCTCTTCAGAAAGACAGTGGGGGAAGGATGAGCTGTCACTTATTATTGTTATTATTTAATGCACTAGTTATAAGATGACAAGTTCTTCATTTTTTCTTAGAGCACATAGAATATGCCACCCGACAATGCTTGAACATGAAATTAAAAATACATTTTCTGATTTCAAAGAACTACATTTTCTACAAGGATTCATTACAAATTATCATCTCAAACCAAGAAAAACCTTGTTCCTTGAAGATAAAGAAAGATCAATCAATGATAATGTGAAACCACTTTAGATTGGCTACAACACTAACACTGAACCTCTTGAGAAAATATTAAGGAAGAATAACTTTAGAATCATATAAAAATATCTGAACACCATGAAAAATAATGTAACTTCAAACAAAAAAACACCTGAAGATAAAAAACAAGGCGTTTATGTTATACCATGCCAATCCTGTGAGAAAGGTTATGTAGGTGAAACCAGAAGAAGTGTTGACATGAGAGTTTCTGAACATAAAAAAAAAAAGACATAAAATATGGAAACCAAAACAATACAATTTTTCTACATGAGACATTCTGGCAATCAAACTGATTATAAATCAACAAGAATTTTATACAAAACGGATAACTACATAAAAAGAAGAATCGTCAAAAGTTGCTTAATCAAAATCCTGCCTAATTTCAACACTTCCCAAGGTCACTTTAAACTTAATAACTTCCTGACCTCCTGTGTCCTTAAGGGAATTTCAAGATCAGGAGTCACGTAGGCATTTGTTGACCAGTTTTTTCCTGCCAGAAGACAATGTGAGACGGAAGAGGATGCACGAATGTGTCAAAACTAGCTTCTCTGATATCAGACTTCTGACACTTTGTTCCATTTACAATGTTATATTTTATCTGTTTTTCTGATTTTGTATAATCCTTGTCCTTTTTTGTTACATGATACTCCTCCTCTCAGTATTTGGTTTTCCTCCCTCACCTGAATATTAGGGTTCATGCTGAGCATTTTGTTTCAAGGATATTTAAGAATGTCAGCATTCCTCCATGGGCTTCGGATCAGTTTCTTTTGGCCTACCATCAGGCTGAATGTCCGTTTCTTAATTCTCAACAATTAGAATTGATTTTGTTTGTGTGGGGACAGACTATGATCATCCTGTTCGTTTATTCCATGCCCAATTTTCCAGCTTCTGTCTTACTCTATCAAATGTCCTAAAGTACTTGTCTATCATCCACCTCCTTCCTTAGGTGATCCATGGAGTCTTTCAAGGGATTACCTTTCCCTGATTATCTCCACATTGGCATGTTTGTTTTATTTGGCTCTAGCTTTACACACGTGGTTTTTCTAATGTTGGGATTTCCTGGGGAGGGATGCAGCCTTTTTACAAGTTTTACTACTGTCTACTTATCTCTGGGACTTACGTATGGACCCATTTGTACAGTGGTATATTTTCAGTAATATTCTTGAGACTTTGGAATCCCGTGTGTAGTCGGTGTCGCAACAAACCACTCTTTCCTCTTTGGTGGATCATTTGTCTCATTCTGAGCCTAGACATGCCCCTGTTACTGTTTCTCATCCAGCTTCTTCCCACCCTTACCTGTTCCTACCTACAGGGGGTTCCTCATCTCGTCACTTTATTCAATGCAGATGGACATGTGCCAACAGTACCAGTAACTACCCAGTGGGTTCTGGTCCAGTGAGGGCTCATTTGACTGGTTTTATTCCCCATTGGTGACTTTTTGTCACAGATCTGTGGGTTATTTTGGTATTATCTATTTTATTTCCCCTCTTCCCTTATCTCAGATACCCGTTTCCTTTCCATTACCTCAGTATCCTACCACCAGTCAATGTCTGTCTGAGGCAGTACAAGATCTTCTTTCCCAGCAGTCCATTGAATCTGTCAGTAATCCTTCTCCAGGTTTTTATTCCAGGCTGTTTGTGGTACCCAAGAAAACTGGGGACTGGCGGCCTGTGATCAATTTGTCCTGCTTCAGTCAATTTTTGGTTCTATCCCGATTCACCATGGAATCTTTTCTCACCCTCAGTTGGGCTTTTTCTCCAGGTTTGTGGATGACCAAAGTGGACATCGCAAATTATTACCTGCATATCCTGATATCTCGTTAGTCTAGATGCTATCTTCAGTTCGTTCATCATGGGGTAGCTTATCAATTTTGTGCCCTATCCTTCAGGCCTGCTTTGACCTTGTATGTTTTTTATCGGGTAGTCAAAGCTTTTGCCCAACATTTGTATGCTCGGGGATTGCACTTGCTTCATTGCATGGATGACTGACTTCTGTTAGCTCATTCTGAACAGGAGCCCTCCCATCACACTCATCTGCTGCTAGCTCGTGTAGGTTGGTTGATCAAATTGGAGAAGTCATTCTTTATACCTACCAAATATCTTGCCCATTTGGGTGTCATTTTCAAAACTTATCTTGGTTGGGCCCAACATCCTCTTTGACCTCATTCGACGAAGCTTTCAGTTCTCCATGTCCTTACTGCTTCCTCTCTTACAGTTCACAAGGTTCTATCACTTTTGGGGATGTGGTCTTCATGGAAGCCCTTATCCCATTGGGTCGAGCACATATGAGGTCTCTTCAGTTGACTCTGAATGACCAATGGAATCTTGTGTGGGATCCACTGGGGGCTCCTATTTTTCCTTCCACTTTCTCTTGCAGGCGATTTGCATTGATGGTTGGACGAGGATCACATGTTGGTGGGTGTTCTGCTTCCTCCCCCTAGGCTGAATTTACATATTTTCACGGATGCTTCTCTTCAAGCCGGTGGTGTCCGGCCAAAAGATCTTACTATATCAACATTTTGTAACATCATTTTTTCGGGAATCGTCTAGTCATGATCCATTCTGACAATTTTACAGTGGTGGCTTATCTCAATCACCATGTTAACCCCATTTTCGTTCCTTTTGTGGTTGAACTTTGGATCTCCTTTTTCTGGGCCTCATGCTCGGTATGCATATCATTGCGTGTCATGATCTGGTTACATTCAATCTTGTTGTGGGTCGTCTTTCCTGTCCTGACAAAGTTTATCCAGTGGGTGGTCTCTCGATACTCTTGTTTTCCAGTGGCTATGCCTTTAGTGGGGTACTCCTCACCTGGATGTGTTTGCCACATCAATACCAAATTACCTCTGTTTTGGTCTCCAGTTCTTCACCTCTTGCTCTGGCTGTCGATGCATTCAGTCAAGATTGGATCAACAATACCTTTATGTTTATCCTCCCATCCATCTTCTTCACAGGGTGATCTCGATCAGCATGCTACTCCATGTCAAGTCCTTATGATTGCTCCATACAGGCTGGCACAACTGTGGTTCCTGTGGCTACTCCAGCTTCAGTCTTTCCCTCTGTTACCTTTTCCTTTTACTCCATCAATTTGGTCAATCTCAGTCACCGGCATTTCATCCAGCCCTTTATACCCTCCATCTTTATGCCTGGTTTTTATATTGTTCTTGGCAAAGAGATACAGTTTGTCCTGGTGGGTCACTTCCTTTTTAGCTTGTTCCATTCACCTTTCCTCTAGGGATGTTGATCACCATAAGTGGAATGTTTCCACTGTTGGTCTTTTGGTCAGGGGTTTTCCCCCACTCAACCCACTGTTCCCCATATTATGGATTTCCTCACTTGGCTGTTTGGTCAGGGGTCTTCTGTCTCCTCGATCGTGGGTTATCGGGCTTCCCTATCCCACACTTTCGTTTTTCCAGGTACTGTAAAGTTTTTACCTTTCCTACCTTTTCTCTCTTGTTGTGTTCCTTCTGGATTAGTTGTCCACCTCAGCAAGCAGTCCATCAGGATTGGAATATTAATGTGGTTCTTCACTGCTTCACTTTAAGCCCCTGTCCTCATGCTTAATTTTTCACTTATTCCTTAAGACTTATTTCCTTCTCTTATTAGCCTGTGGATGTAGTCAGTCGGATTTATTTGCCATCGATGTTTCACATACTCTTATTATTCCGTAGCCTTTATCCGGTTTGATCTTTCCTTCCCAAAACTTCAGCAGCTTGGGAGGGTAATTCCTCCTTCTCATTGAGTTCCTTTCCTTCCATTTCCCACTTTTATCCTTGGTCAGATCCAGATAGACTACTACATTCTGTCCATGCTCTTCATTGTTATTCTGGCCGCATGGCTTCCTTAAGTGGTGCATGTTCCCACCTAATCATTTCTTGGTAGACATCTTCTGTTTGTGACCTTTCTCCTTTCACCCTAACCAGTTGGGTTTGACTTTTAATTCGATTGGCTTATTCTTCCTTATCGTCTTCTTCCCGTAATTTGTTCCAGATGTCTTCTCATCAGATCAAGCACCTTACCTTTCCTTAGATTTCCTTTGGTCTGCTGAACTTGAGGTGAAGATGGTATGTTTACCCCCATGTTGTTGTTGGTTCCCAGTGGCCTAGGTTTTGGATGCAGTTGACTTGCTATGTGTGGTCTGTCATGCCCTAGCCACTATACACCTAGATACACATCCTTTTACTTTTACCCACATTACTGTACTTAGTGGGATTGAAATTTGTTATATAGTGGTTCGAATCCCTATCCCAGCATTGTTCTCCCCCTTAGGGATGTGCTTCTTCCATTTTTTCCACCCATGTCTATGACATCTCATTCCACAGTGGGTGAAGAGTATACCTGGTACAGATGTGGTGCAGTCTCCCATGTATTATCCTCTACTTTGAGGATCTGTTCTTCAGATGCTTTCAAGGAAAGCACCAGTCCATCCACCTATTCAGTGTGGGATTCTAGCTATTTATGTGAGCAGATATAAAGTACCATATCGGAAGTTATAGTTTTTCAGTACTGAAAATATATTTCCGATAGGTACTTACCTCACTCACACTTTCCACCTTTGCTCCCCATTGAAAATCAGTGCTTCCATTTTCTGCCAAAGCTCTAAGTGATAGAGGGAGTCGCATGTGTCAGGAGAGTGTGTTGCACTCTTTTGGTGGAGGGTTGTCGCATGATGACTTATATGCAAGATGCATTTGAACCAGTTGATTGTAATGTACATGGGAGCTCAAGGCTTGTGGCATGTGCAAAAAATGTTTGCATATAGAGGGCAGCACTGAATGAAAATAGATATTTATGTGAAAGGAAGTAAGTACCTATTGGAAATATATTTTCAATATAGGAAAATTATATCATTTAGACTTTTTATAATCAATGAGATACAACTTTTAGACTTTTATCAAAAAGAAATAATACTGAACATGGTATAAAGGACATAACATAGAATATTAGAAAGTATGTTATTTCTGGCAGGTAAGCATTTCTTCTCAAACTTTAATCTATCTATATTCATCTAGGGAGTTACTGAACCAGCACACTGAAAATCTTAGTACATTGTTGAAGCATGCTATCTACAATGAACTGTCCAATTCTCGAAACCCTAACAACATGCAGTTGATTTCAGTAATATTTCAACATTCACCGGAAAGAGCTGCAAAGGTATGAATTCTTATAATTTACATAAAATTAAAGGTTAACTGTTTATAAAACAAGAATTGATAATGTACCCAAACATTTTGAATTATTAGCTTCTGATCAGAGCCTGCTACCATCTCAGCTTAAAAATACAAATCAACCAGATAATGAATATAGCTAATGAATATTATTGTTATTATGTCTTATTTATAATAATTACAGTGCATTGTTTTGTTAGTTGGATATACTTGATATTAATAGTATTTTTCGCAGTAAACCCAGTAATATCTTACAAGATTTGGTCAGCTTTAAAAAATATTTGTGTTAGTTCTAAACCCATATACTAAGCTAACTGGCCCGGCATGGCCAGGTGGTTATGGTGCTTGACTCGCAATCTGCGGGTCACAGGCTTGAATACTCAACCCACCAAACATGCTTGCCCTTTCAGCCATGGGAGAATTATAATTTGATGGTCAATCCCACTATTCATTGGTAAAAGAGTAGCCTAAGAGTTGGCGGTGGGTGGTGATGACTAGCTGCCTTCCCTCTAGTCTTACACTGCTAAATTAGGGACGGCTAGCACAGATAACCCTCGTGAAGCTTTGCGCAAAATTCAAAAACAAACAAACAAACTAAGCTAACAATGATAAATAATAGTATAAGAAAGGTATAATAATAATAATAATAAATCACAAAAATAGATGGATTAAACATTCAAACCAATACTATTGATGAAAGTAACATTAAAGAAATAACAGCCTACTAACTTCTGACAAATATAACTGTAATCATTCTTTGCCAGCTTTTAAAAGGCATACAATCCATAAACGTTGTTGTAACAAATGGCCTAAATAAATACTATTCCAACCACTGCTGCGTTTGTTGTATCCCTACCAGCCTGAATAGCTCTGGATTGAGTGAAACACATCAGCAGCTCTGGATATGACAAATGTAGTGTTGTTGGAATACTGTTATTATACACTCTTCTAATTCTTGGAAATCCCTAAGGGAGTGTAGTGTTTAAAAATGCAATAGGCCTAATGTCTTACCACTAACTTTTCACCAGGTTCTTGCTGATGTATTTTTCGATCTACTGACAAACAGAGATGATTACCTTCGTGCTCTGCGTGCTCTCTTCAGAGAGATAGTCCGAACACTCCGGCATGAGGTGAAGTTTTTATCTTTTTGTCGTGGTTTGATGCAAGAGAGAAAAGATCAAGGCTTTCTTGATATGGATCCCCAGATCAAGGTATTGCTGAATCAGTAGATTTAGTGGTGTTCTTTGTTTGTAAGTGTTTATCTAAAATGGTACATTAGATTCAAGATTTATGAAAATCTGGATCAAGATTTCTGTACAAGAATTCCTTTAAAAAGAAATATATTTAGCAGTAACAGTTGTCAGTTTATTTATTATTCATGAATGGAATTGCTCCTTTGTCAAGTTAATAATACCTTTATAGTAAGCTAATAATATTGTTCAGTTTCTGTAGTAAGTATTTGTAAATTAAAGGTGTTTGGAAGGTTTTCAGATGGTGTAATAATTGTGAAAACAGCAATACTTGATGATCTTTATATATATATATATTTGTAAAGGGAACGGACAACAGTTGTTGAAAATAAAGCCTTAACTGCTTAAATTCTGCTACATTTGTGAGATATGTAGCAATAGTCTGATGTTATTGTCTCACAGTCGATGGAAACAATGATTAGATCATGCATACAATTAAACAGATATTTGAAAACATTCTTTAATTAGTTTGTGGTGTACCATTTGTATTTGGAGTAAATTGGGGCAAAATGAATTTTTAATTCAATGCTAATTCTTGATGGTATTGCTTGTAGGAGAGAATGTTCATGTCAATTTCCGACCTGCTTGTGCTCGCCATACTCCAGGGCATTGGACCTGCTGTAAAGGAAGCATCAACAACTCTTGCAAGGGAAGAGAAGAAAGGTACAATATTATTAATACATGTACTTTAATTCAGAAAGGTTTACCATATTAGTTTAACAACTGGTGCATGGCAGCAACTGTTGGATAAGGGTTAGCAAATTCACGATTTATAGCATAAACAGTTATAGCAGGCTCCTAGACAACTTTTTAAGCTTTCCCTTTGGTGCGTCGTGTTGACTGTTTTTATAGGCGTGAGAAAGGTTTTTATCGAAAATTCAGACAACAGTACTGAGCTTTATTTAACCGGTTACAGAAGTGGATATGTTGTTGATCCTTACGTTCACGAATATTCTACAACCTTGGAGAATTAGTGGGAGTTTCACAGTACGTAACTAACACTGTAAGCTAGGTACATTTTTAAATATAAACTCAATCCAAACAAATGTGTCATTAAAATAAATATATAACAAATTTGTTACATGTACCATAT